ATAAGAGAAAAATAGTATGCTATATCAGGTTATAACCGGTTTCACCATTTTCACAATTGTACAAATTATTTTAATTGGTTAATTTTAAATGATCTTGAGGTGTAAACTTTGTAGGCTAGGCCTATAGCCTACCAATATTCCATGTAGTTCATCAACTACCCATTTATATAACTTGTAGTTAAACATTTAAATGATATTGTAGCCCTATTAAAAAATAAGGCTATGTTTTAACTTAAATGGAACAAATGGTGTGTATATATTGTGAATATTAATTTCATGGTCCATTCATAAGGTCAGCAGTTTGCATAATGGTGCCAAATGAAGCATTCAATAAGGAATTAATCTCTGGTGCTCCTTTTGCGTTTGAAGAATGGGACGCTGCACTGGTCCACAGATGTCAGGCTGCACGCGAACAGGCAAGACCACACACTAACTTCTTCAAACAGTGCGGTTAACTACAGCCAATGGGTTAGGGATGCAATCAGCTAATTTACTGAAAGGAATGTTCCATCGCCAGCTGCATGGAAGAAGCAGCATTATTCTTTAGCATGAGGTGTATGAAGGCCCTCATGAGCTTGTCACAGCAGTTGCCAACAGTCTTTGTCAAGTTTAAACGAGAGTTTGGAGTCAAATTGTCAAATTTGGATGACAGAACTTCTCCCTGGATATATAACGCCGATCTCTGTGACAGTTCGACTACGTGTTTAACAGAGAGTCTTTGATGCCTTTGCTGTCTGTCAATACTTTTGCTCTTTTGCTGTCATAGAGTGCAGTCCATATGGAAATCCGGAAGTTGCAACTGGGCCAAGAAAACAAAGCGTGTGAACACGAGCAAGAGAGCTCATTGGTAAAGATTTTCAAGGAGCTGCTTTGAGCGGTCAGATGCAGAGCTTGCTTTGCTTTTGCTTGGCAGGTAAAAATACCGTTGAGTTATGCATTCATATAACTACTGTTCCCAGAAGGAGGGAAACGAGGTAGGCCTACAACACATGACTATGGGATATGGTGTCCTACCGACAGTGTTGCCAGATTGGTACGGTGATTTCCAGCCCAAAAGCTCACCAAAACCCGCCCACTACAAGAAAAAAACGCCCAAAATTTTACTGCCAAAATAATGTGATATAATTTCATTACCATGTCATTTAAGGTTGATAAGCACAATTTGTATCTCTTTAAAACAAAATAACGATGGTAAAATAAAAATAAATAAATAAAAAAAATTCCAGCAAAACAGATCAAAACAGGGCAATAATTAAGGAGAATTAGCCAATATGACTAAAATGTCCAGGTGGACACTGTCAAAACGGCAATCAAGAAATGAACCGATGACTTTAACCCTCGGAAGTACACATTGCAGAACATAACGCAGAATTTAGCAGTCAAAACGGATTCATCGTTGATTCAAACCTTTTTCAGCAGCTGTCAGGGACAAGTAACTGTTAGAGTACAGTCTGGATGGTGTAAAGTTGCAGATGTTTGGTTAGGCTAGTGTGCACATTATGACATGGACAGTGGCGGTTCTACACGGAGGCCTAGGGAGGCCCGTGCCTCTGTAGACATGTACCTGGCCACCCCTGTGGCCCCCCCACCCGTGCTGACAAAAAAAAAAAAAAAGAATTTGATTTTACACGCGACACGCGAGCGCCAAAAGCGGAACTAATGTGACGCAACGTTCTACACGGGTAAATTAGAGTGGCGCACGGTAAAGAAAAAAAAAATTTCACAATATTATTTTTCCAAACAAGTAGGCCTAGTCTATCCTATCAATATAGCATATTTAAAAAAAATGTACATTTTTTTTAAATATGCTATATTGATAGGATAGACTAGGCCTACTTGTTTGGAAAAATAATATATATATATATATATTTTTTTCGTTTACTATACGAGACATTGAGTTTTAAAACAGTAATCAGAAATCATTCATTATAAAATCTTGTAGGCTATATTGTTTCATTCCCACTAAAAAACTATCACAAACATTGATTATCCCAAGTCTTGATAGCCTATGGCCCACTCATTAAGTGTGCATTGCTCACGACAACTATCTTTTAAAATAGGCCATTTAGATATCAATAATAATAAATACATTTAGTTTGATTCACATGGAAAAAATTAAATAAAAAAAGAAATAAAGATAACGGCTCTGTCCGGTAGGGGGACCCCTTACACCCCTCTATAACTGAAGGGAAGATCATTATTTAAATTAAAAGCACACACGAAAAAAGGGAATGTCTTTTATTTTACTTTAACATTATTTTGACATTTTAAAACCGAAAATGTCATGATATATAATATTATTATAATGTTGATTTCTTAGTCTGAACTCATAAAATATGTGACTTGTAGGCTAGGCCTAAATGTTTTTGTGTATGGTAATAAATGCATTGCTGGTTTGTCACCATTTTAGCTTTTTGTTCTGCTCACCATCCTCCACCACAATACCAGATTCTGTCTCATATGAGGCCTTTGAACAAAATATGCAAGAGCTAAAACACATGCGCTGACTGACCAATGCTGCAAGTCGTCTCTTTAATGAAAGTCATTCTCATCCCAGATCATGCACAGAAATCCTTGTAGATGTCCTCTCTGAATCTGTTGTACATTAGATACAAAGTTCTGCGTACATTGTTCATAAAACACATCTTAGTGGAAAAAAAAATGGGCATCTCAAAATGTCAAATAAAATAGTTCGTTTTAATTTATTTGTTTATCATTTTTTTTAATTTGGAATCTGAGCTATAATGCACTGGCACGGGAAAAACACTGAAAGCTGATTTGTTGAATTTAATTTTGATTGTATTGTGCAAAGCACGTCATTTACAAAATGTTCAGAAAGACATACTTTAAATGTGTCTTTGTTTAACAGTCAATCAGCAACGAACTCTTTGCTCTATACAGAAACACATCTGGTGCACAGTTTTCATCCATGTTGAGAGCATGAAACTGCAAGACAAAATGAATTCAGCAATCATTTGGTTCAGGGTGGTTGCTCTAAGTGCCACCTGAATGTGCTCTTTCTGTCAGAATATTTTAGCCACTCTTCAGTTCATATAAGGCCAAAAGATATAATGCATCAGTGCATTTCCATTTCGCCGAGTGGTCACTCACACTATCCCACTGATATGCTTTAACCCCCAGATAGCCTAATAGTTATCCCAAGCTTTGATATATAATTGGCAAAATTATCATATGCACTATAGTGATTTTTTCTGTCTATGATTACATCGTCGTGATTTTGTCTATACCTCCAGTATGCTTTAATAATGATGCTTTGTATTTTCTTGGATGATAACTGTGTTTTGAATACGGTTGCGATTGATGTGGATGAATGAAGCTGTGAGTATTATCAGTGTTTATTAGTAACTATAAATGTCCATTGTTATCCTCTCCAAATATTCGCTTAGGTATGCCGCTTTGTTATACAATCAGGAAGAACACTGGCAGTCGAGGCTATTCACAGGTCGCTACATCACCGATAGATGGCGGTGAAAGACCGTGCAAAGGCTTCGACTGATGCGCCACCAACAATCAACCGAACCAACTATCTGAAATGAGTTGAACTTGTTTTTGAAATTCTCCCGGTAATACCCGTGTCCTTTTGCCTTTGAAGGTCAAGAAAAAAAATGATTTTGTTCAGTAGCCTATTATCTTCGTTCTCCATTTGCACGGGTCACATTCCTTGGGGCATTGCTGAAGTAGGCCGAAATGAAATTGGAAATGCAAAATATGTTCGTTGCTTTGCTGCGGAGGAAAATTACAATTACAATGTTTTATCAAAAAAATCCAAATTTATTCGAATTTAAACAGTGAGACAGTTAAAACCAAAAACTGCAAATCAGTTTCACAAAAATAGCCTATGTAGCCTACATGTGTCGTATATGGAAATGTAATTATAAGCTATTTAAAATGATCGTGATAGCGCTTTACAATAGGCTATGTCTCGATGTTTAACATTAGTTAAGAAGACATTAATTAACATGACCTAATAGCCCATTCTTGCAGCATTTATTAACCTTTGTTAATGTTAGTTGATAAAAATGTTCATGTTTGTTAGCAGTGCATTAACTAATGTTAACAGATACAACTTTTGATTTAAAAAATGTTTTAGTAAATGTTAAGATTAACATTAATTAATAAATGCTGTAGAAGAAGCCTATTGATCATTGTTAAGTTAACTATAATGTTAACAAATTAAACCTAATTCAAAAGTGGTACCATTACCGTTTTACACAATGTCCTAATTTCATTTTTTTTATTTTTGTAGAGTAAAGATGTTACATCATTAGCTCGGCCTATAGGCCTACTCATGATAAAGTCATATTAGGCTATATGGCTGTTATGAAATTATGAAACGCAAAAAAAAAACATGAAACTGCAGATGTAAAAAGTAAATACTTAAAAAAAAGTAAAAGTTTTTATTTTGTAAAAATTTAAAATGTGACAACTTACCGCGACCTTACATGTATGAAAAATATAGCTAACCTTTGGTTAAAAATAGGCTATTGATTATATAACGGACTCATTATTTAGCTTGTTTACACAACCGCTATTGCAAAATATGATGATAGAGGAATATACGTTTAGAAGACAGAATTCACAATTGTTCTGTTGATGTTTTTGATCAACATTAAACAATTAAACATTAAATAAAGAAAAACACATATTTATACTTTGACTCAAACCCATAAGATACAGATGTTGATGTTGTTGTGATACCTGGCCATAATTTCCCCAAAGCACATCAAATTTGCAGTAGTGTAAATCTTAGATAGATAGATAGAGAGAGAGAGAGAGAGAGAGAGAGAGAGAGAGAGAGAGAGAGAGAGAGAGAGAGAGAGAGAGAGAGAGAGAGAGAGAGAGAGAGAGAGAGAGAGAGAGAGAGAGATAGAGAGATAGATAGATAGATAGATAGATAGATAGATAGATAGATAGATAGATAGATAGATAGATAGATAGATAGATAGATCTACTATTGGGTCAGGCAAAAAACACACTGCTTTCCTTGAAATGTTTTATTTCTAACTTCCACACATCACACTGTACTGTACAGATTAATTGAAATATATACTTAAATTTGCTTAATTCAACCTCTATTGAAATGTAGCCACAACACATAAAATGGCCCGTCCATGACTTCATGAGTTTAACTGTTTCTATGCGCTCGCTGCCAGGGCTGGTTTTGGAAAATAGGCCTATTTCCAATCGCTTCATGAGTGCAAAATAATTAATCCTTCATTAATTTTCTTTACCTCACAGTTATCCAAGTGCTTATCTTTGTGCAACTTGATCCGCAAATAGCGGACTACATCACGCAAGGTTTGACGTCTTGATTCACACTCTGATGGTGATGATGGTGATGATGATGGTGATGATAATATCCACCAGCAGAAGGATGGAAAGACGTAATTCCGTTAAAATTCAACATGAAGTCCTTCCGTTCTCCGACTGGGGAAGAATGTGTCGGATAGCGCGATATTCCCACTGGGGACAGATAATATGCACAATGAGATAAATATACATATGATAAAATCTAATATTAAATATTGTTCATTTTACATTTATCAGCTCATATGAGTAGAGCTTTTACCCCCACACAAATTTCAAATTCAGCTTCCGCCAGCAAAGAAGGGTCACAGTCTTCGACCAGTAGGCATATTGATTTATTTATACAAACAAATTTCTTTTACAATTTTTCTAATTATGTTTCTAATTATGTTTTTATTTATTTATAAAAAAAATGTAAATTAATAAACTGACTTTCATGAGCTTCACACATTTTTCTTAATATTTTATATTGACGTGAAAAAAGAATGATTCTTGAACCCTAGATTGTAATAATAATAATAACAGCAACAACAACAATTATTATTATTATTATTATAAACTTATTTAGCTGTTTATAAACGTATACAAATAAACGTATTTTGCTACCCCACACATAACAATGTGGTCGGACGTAAAAACAATCTTGCAAAATATGTCATTTGACCCATAGGCCTACTGCATAGATGAATTCAACAGCTAACTCAAAACATTTTGTACAGTTTATAGTAATCTTTTTAAGTAAAACATTTTGCCTTTTGGCATTCTGAGATAGCCTATCTTTCTTTTTTCTATCGTGCTTTTTATTTTTATTTAGGCTACAGAACGTAGGCCTAATAAATAAAAATGTTTCAAAGTACACTTTATTTTAAAGTGGCCTTGTTACAGTGTAATTATACATTGGATATTGAGTAATATTAACATAATGTAGCTTACTTAGGGTTGAAGTTAGGATTAGGGTTTGTTTGTTTAGTGTTATTTGCATTAGTTGCGTGTAGCCTAATTATAGCCTACACAATTTATAAAAATGGTAACGTGTAACAAAGACACAGTTACCCAAAAAAGTAAAAAAAAAAAAAAAAATGGTGGCATCTAAATGTTTCCGAGATTCCTTGCCGTTACCTGACATGTCTGTGTTGTCTCTCGCACTTTGCTGCATATAACCCTGCTCCAGGGAGTAGGTGAATATCCCGGGATGCTGCCCTGTGGACGGAGAACTGCTTGTGACTGTAGACGGCTGTTTTAGGTATGGAGAATTTGAAGAAGCCCATAGTGCCGTGCTCTCTGAATACGACGAGTGACCCTCAAGCGCGCCCGCTATTGCAGTAGAGGACGGAACTGGGCTGGTGTTGCTCTCCGCGCCATAGTCTCCGTTCCCGGGCACTGGACAGCTAGCCATATAGCCATGTCTGGAGCTGGGGGACATGTGACCGTGGTGCCCGCTGCTCATTGACTCATAACCATTACCAGACAGATCCAGGTTATAGCCACTGCTATGGCACGCAAGTGCGCCAGTGGGAGTTTGGTAATCGAAGCTCTGAGGTAAAATGGCGGAACCGAACCCAAGGCCGTTCATCATTCTGTACATTGGTTTCATAGCTTGACATTTTCTCCTAAACCCTCGCGGTCTTCGCCGAAATGACCCTTCCTCGAACATAAACTCACTAGTGGGGTCTATGGTCCAGTAATGCCCTTTACCCGGCCGCCCAAGGCCTTTTGGTAGTTTAATGAAGCACTCGTTCAGAGACAAGTTGTGCCGAACAGAGTTTTTCCAGCCCTGATAAGAGCCTCGGAAAAAAGGGAAGCGTGTTTGTAAGAACTGGTAAATCTCACTGAGTGTGAGTCGCTTGGTCGGTGCACTCTGAATTGCCATGACAATGAGCGCAATATAAGAGTAGGGCGGTTTCTCCGGGCGTCGTAGTCCTGAATTAGTCTTTTTGTTTTTGGGCACGGCGTCATGGTCCTCCAAGCTACTTGTGGAGTTCATCAGTCCTGGATGCAGCGCGCTGGACGCTGGACTGGTCCTCATCGGGGGCGTTGACCGCAGTGGGCCGTGGGAGCTCTCAGTCGTCATCTGTCCCGCTCTGACGTACGAACACAACTCGTTGACAGACGCTGACGTTGACAGAAGAAAAAGGTAAAGCAAAACTCCAAAAGATTGAGATGTTCAAAAACCAATGAAGTTAACGGAAGAAAAAGGTAAAGCAAGACTCCAAAAGATTGAGATGTTCAAAAACCAATGAAGTTAAAGAAAACAACCGACTAGCCTATAAACACGACACTCATTCATTCGAAAACGTATGCTTATTTAATCAAGCATTCTATGCAAAGCAACTGTCTACTTTTCCTGGCGTTAAAAGTTGTGGTCCAAATCCTGCTGTTTGTGAGAGAAAATATCCAAGGAATACGCACATGAATTCGTCGTCGTTATCAACGTTTTACTGCGGGTCTTTTTCTGCCACTGTCTCCGCGCTGATCCGGGTGACTGTAATCCCTTTTTGAGAACGAAATGGAAAGTCTTGAGTTCGTGCAGCGCCTCAACTAAACAAAACCCGACAGCCAATCACTCAATAACTCTCTCCGGCTTTCTCCACTCAAATCGCTCCTCCCTCCTCGCCTCACCCACCCCCTTAAACCCCTAGACTCCAGCAAACACCCCCCCCCCCCCCTTCTCTCTCTCTCTCTCTCTCTCTCTCTCTCTCTCTCTCTCTCTCTCTCTCTCTCTCTCTCTCTCTCTCTCTCTCTCTCTCTCTCCAGAGCCTCATGCTCATGCACACTGTCCACCACAATCAACTGACCCTACAATTTATCACTATATGCTACAACAAACTTCGCGTCTCTCATCATCATCATTATCATCTTTCTGGCTTGAGCATGCTTATTCTTCTGGCTTATTTATAAAACATGTTTTGGTCATTTAGCCTGAATGAGTCAGTCAGTGTTGCACGCTTTATGGGAATAAACTTGGGTATAATAGAATTATATATATATTTTTTTTTTAATAAAGATTATCTTAGCTTATCAAGTGAGTGAAAGCAAGCCCAATGCCAATGTTTACAACTTTCTGGAATTTGCATTTGCGACGAATTTTAATTGGATGGATTCCTCTAATGGCCTTGGAGGGCTGTCAATACGATCAAAATCTAAATGAGCTTTAGGGGCCTTCATAAACGTAGCAGGACTAAAATAAATAAATCATTCCATCAAATGAGGAGACAGTGATCAGTGAGAGGCGAGTGAGAGAAGATGGGAATGACTTTGGCTCGAGTGGAAGCAGGCCGTCTCTGTTAAGAGCTTTGGGTAGGATACCACACACAGCGCTCCAGTATCAGCTTACGGGCCCGGGGCCACAGCACATCCCTCGAGTCCAGCGTTCATTAACAAAAGCAAAAGCCAATTAGCCATTTGGACGTCGACAGCTTCCGCCAGCAAAGAAGGGTCACAGTCTTCGACCAGTAGGCCTGGCCTATACATATTGATTTATTTATACAAACGCAAACTTCTAATGAATAAATATAAATATAGTAAATATAATAAATGTGAGAAAAGAATTAGAGCAAATAGCAATTTACATTGGCTATAGGCTATGTAATCGAATTGTGAAATGCCCCCGTTTTTTTAGTAGCATACAAATGTTTAAAATCATATATTATTGAATTATAATTCATATTATAATTTGCCGTTAATTCTACAAAAAATTGACGATAAAGACACAAAAACAGCATTACTTAAATAGCACGGATATGTTATCTCTCGCGCTCTTTCTCTCCCCTCCCTTTTTAATCACCCAACTCTTTTAAGTGTTCTTTTGAACAAAGCGAATCAACAATGCCCTAGTTTAGGCTTACCGTGAGGATGTGGATAAAAACATGTTCCCGCGCTATATAAGCAGTATTTCGGCGGGTTTCCCCCGCCCGCTGAGCGCCTGACCCCCGCCGAGTCCCGGATACCCACGGCTGCTCTGGAGGAAACCGAGCTCTGCACGAGACTTTGAACACAGGCCATCGCTAAGAGTGTATGTGCGTAAGAAAGCATCGTGCTCCCTTGTGCAAATACACTCACTGAACTATTTTCATTACCGACCTAATTGAGCCTCTGTAAACAAGATTTATGACTTAGTCTTTGTCAAACGAATACGCATCAAAGGGTCCAGTGAGTCAACCTTTGATCTGAGACGATTTTGTGCTTATAATGTGAAGTATCAAACAATTTTAAGTATCCCTACTAAGTTTCCCACGGAAATGTTTTAGGGTTAAGTGTCCACTGAATTATTACAGAAAATGGGCGTTAACAATCTCTAAATTATTAGAATTGTAGAGTGAGAATATTCATGAATAAATCATTAGAGATTAAGACACTAAATAATGTGTGTTTTTTTATCTATAGATAAATAACTATAAAACATGATAAATAAAGCATTAATATATTGATGCTTTATTGGTCATGTTTTATATTTATTTAGTTGTAAACCTTCATAAGCCTTGTGAAAAATTCATCCCACGAATTTTGAAAACTTATTTTTTGGGCAAGTTGGAAACAATTGATCTTGTTTGATGAAAGCATTTTTTTTACAGTGTGTTCGTTTGCTTTGGATGACATTGCTTGCACTGCATGAGCGAAACCATAAGAAGTGTATGATCAAATGCATTGTAATGTGTTCCGTATATTTTCATCTGCTCTTATTGTCCTGATTTTTGTGTGTGTATAGATAACAGCGTCATATGCCTGTATGTTTATTTAACTTGTTGCTGTGACAAACTTGCATATTTATAGCCTACGAATGAGCGCTTCACTTGTAGCCGAAATGCTCAGGTCATGATAGATTTTAATTCTCAGCTAACGGTTTTTACATGAACAGGTGTGTGTCATTCCGCGAGTTCACCTGCAGGTTGCAGCATCGCACTTAAATGGCAAGCATTTAAAATAGTGAGAATTTAAAGGTTGCCAGCAGAAACCAATGCATGATTTGCGAGTTATAGGCCTATACGTGACATAACCACAGAAGTAGACCTAGCCTACATAAATCTGTGAGCTTTCCTTAATCTTAGCTAATATTATTACAATAAAGTAGATCAACGTCATGCTCTCGATTTCTCTCACATTTTTCATTTTGTAGGACTACTGATTGTTTGCTTTGGGGCTTTATACAACAAAGTATTCTCTTAATTCGTTAATTAATTAATTAATTAATTAATTAATTAATAATTCGTTTATTCATTCATTCATTGAGGAGTAAGGAACACATATATAGGCCTAAGTGGAGAAAGACAGGTCCTCACTCCTTGACCTGAAAATTACAGGGCTGTCAACCCAAGGAGATGGCGTGACTGAGGATTAAAATTGAAAAGAAAAGCGATGGCCCTCTTTCAGTACCGCGGACAGCGCAAAATATTTTCATGTTTGAGACAAGCAAAAAAAAATAATTGTCGTGTAAAAATAATAATAAATATGCTTCACAAAAATTAAATAGTTAATAATAGGACTAAATGTAAAAATAAAATTGGTTATATTGGTTATTCTAATTAAATATAAATACGTCCCATTTGTCCTTTTGTCGTATATACTTAGGCTACCTTGCAGGTTTGAGATTAGAGTTTTACTGAACAAGTATTTGTGTGATTTTAAATGGAAGTCAGTTCATCTGCAAGCATTTTATTTTCTATCAACAGCCAGCAAATATAGCAGGCTATTATTAAGTTTATAATTTAACCGAATAATCACTGCTTATAGGATAACGATATTATTTTTAAATCATTTTTATATTAATTATATAGATCGATATTAAACTGCACGCATAGAAAATGGCAAGAAAAGCGTTCCCATTAATTCCAACTTAATTTGACTTATTTTGGGAGCGCTGGCTGCTTAATGACTCACGCTTGTAGGCGTAGGCTGTTGATTTTTCATTTGAAGAGAAACTGAAAATCACGAGTTTTCTGAAACGTATGTTGGTCAGTTGATAGGCCATTTTACATTATGAAAAAAATATTCAAGCAGTGTGCGATCTGTCCAAGCTGGGGTCAGCTATTTAATTATCGGGACCTTATGTCGATTTAAGTGAACTTTTTTTGATTATCCGTGTGTTATGTGAATCAGTAATAAAGTTTTGCATAATGATAATAATTGGGCTATTTTTGCTATGTTTGGTTTGATAGTGATCCTAACAGAAGATAATTGAGCGGCGTACGGTTGCCATGGTTTCTTCCTTGGGTGGCCGCGATTTCTATTCGCTATTCTATTTGTCGTGACAATGCATTTTTTTCTTACTTTATTATCTCTAATTTCAATTAACTGTTTAATATTTCGAAAATGTAGCTACATCAAATCAATCAGAATTCGACCCCTCCCCCTCCCCTCAGTTTCAGTCTTTGCATTTGCCTTTGCATATTTTATTGTTGGTATAGCACAGATTTCATTTCAGCAAGTCAGAATCATTGTAAAACATGTTAGTTATGCAAACAGAGCTCTTATGACAAGAGTCAGTGGCGTGTCCAATAACCAGTGAGCTAAGTGACACTCAAGGTATGGTTTCAGAAGAATAATGATTGAAAATGCTTGCAGGACTAATTTCTCTCATATTTTCTTTTATTGACGAAACGAAGTACAACTGCATATGTTGTCCAACTGACTGAGCACAGCTCTGAACAAACCATCACATTTACACAGACACCCAACACAGTTTTACAAAGAAGCAAACTACATTTAAATACACATTCTGTCTATAATTATTGACATGGTTATGCCATCGTTTACAAGAAATGAAAATGGAATCAGTAAACACTGTGCACTGGCGCGGCATTAAAGACATTTAAACAGCAAACATGCAGCGTTGGAGTAATGCATTCTTTGTGCATGCTGGGCTTAAAAGTCACGATAAAAAAACACATAGGCCCAAAACACAAACCGTTTCACACCATAACAGAGAAAAGTGCACATATAACCGGTGTGTCAAACACCAAAGAAATTGCGTTTAAGCGTGCGAATGTCTGTAAATTGCCATGTTCACTTGTCATTTCATGACAGCAGAGAGTCTATTCTGAAGGGGTGATATCCAGTCTCTTGGACAGTAGTAGTGTGAGAATGTGCCAAACCCGGAAGGGGATTCGATATGTCCGGCATTCGACTGATGTTAGTAATGTCCACCGTATTACACCTGTAGATTGGAAAGGCATTCGACACCTCAGAACTGACCTGGAATACGCTCTGAGGCGCATGAGCCACCGTGGACGGCGGATAGCCCATAACGACTGGCAGAAAGTGTGGAGCTGCTGACAACATTAGCCTGGTACCAAAACACGTGTCCTCTGTGCATTGCTCCCTCCGCATAAACGGTTTACTGAGGATGCTGTCTATGGCGAACGAGCTGGAAAACTTGGAGCTTTCGTCGCGCGCTGGGAGCCGGCTGTCATCCGCTGGCGCGCGCTCTTGAGATACCGAGTTGCTCAAGTTCTTCTTACTGATGCGCTTCCTCCTCCGGCGGAAAACACCATCTGCGAATGTGTATTCACTGTGTGGGTTCAACATCCAATAATTGTCTTTCCCCCACGGACGCGAGGGATCTCGCAGCACTTTTAAAAAGCAGTCGTTTAATGACAGGTTATGCCGTACAGAGTTTCGCCACCCCGTGTAGCTGCCCCGAAAAAACGGGAATTTTTTCATTAAGTACTCGTTTATTTCAGCAAGTGTAAGGCGGCCGGTGTTGGAATCGCGTATCGCCATAGCAATGAGCGCGATGTAGGAGTATGGTGGTTTGGGTCTACGCGTGTATGGTTTCGCCTTCCCGTCCGAAACGGGGGCACTTGGTCCTGGGCTGTTGGCTGAACAGTCTCCATCCGAGCCCAATTCCTCCTCCGTGGACAGCGGTGAAGCCACGTTCACATCCATGTCATTGCACAGGTTCAGAGTCTTGTCCACAAGGCGACTCGCAGAGAAAACCTCCAACTTCATTGCAAGGCGCCTCTTTCACTTTAAACTGAGTAGCTTTTTATTAAAGTCTTCTCGTGTTTGTTTTGAGCAAAACTTTCGGGAGAAAGTATTTCTTCTGTATTTCAGAACGGAGTACACCGGCGGCGTTAATATAGGCTAATCGCTCTGCAAGGACGGCCCACGAGGGCGGGGCTTACAGGACAGACCTATCAATCACAAACACATTCACGCGAGTTAAGGATTTAGAGATGCTCACCTGCCCCCGTATAAGTGCACGGATAGAGTGTGAGGGGTTTGTGAGGAGTCGTGAGGACTTTTCTTTTCTATTTTCTTTCATTTCTTTTCTCAAAAATAACCTGTGAGGATATTTCACTATTAAAAATTATATGCTCAAGCCTCAAGTTATGACAACATATGTTTTTACATTGCTTTAACTCGTTTTTTAAGTCAGTTTAATGTAATTTAAGTTGAAATGACTTAAAAGTGGTTCTTAATATTGAAAAAGGTTAATGTGTAAATTTAAAACAATAAAATTAAAACAAAATTTCATTGTACATGAAAAGGCCAAGAATGGAAACTCATACTCGGAATTTGTCCTCTGCATTTAACCCATTCAAGTTAGTGCACACACAAGCAGTAGTGAACACACACACACACACACACACACACACACACACACACACACACACACACACACACACACACACACACACACACACACACACACACACACACACACACACACACACACACACACACACACACACACACACACACACACACACACACACACACACACACACACACACACACACACCAGTGGGCAGCCTGTGGCACCAGGGGAGTGATTGGGGGTTAGGTGTGTGGCTCAAGGGCATCTCAGTCATTTCCTTCCTGTATTGAGAATTGAACCCACAACCTTCGGGTTACCAGTCTGACTCTTTAACCATTAGGACACGTCTGCCCCTAATAGTTAGAGGCATGTGTACTTTACGAAATGAGTCATCATAAAATGACTTGTGATGATTTGAAGGCTTCTCATTATCTACAGGCCTATATATTTAAATGTACCTTTTAAAAGTTCAAGGATAGCCTATAAAACCTGAAATCACCTACATTGTGAGAGCCCGCCAATGGTCCCCAGCCACAATGAAAACAGCTTAATAAACATGCTAAATACTGTACGTTAATGTGAAAATAAAAATCCAAAAAGGTTTTTAGTTAAAACTGTTAGTATAATGTCAGTGAAAAATCTCCACCATGATGAAAAACATTTGTGAAAGTTTGGCTATACTTGTAAGGGCCATATATTTTGAAGTCCTCACAAACATAATGAAAGAAGCTGATACCCAACATCTTGGTTTATTATGGCCCTTGATGATTCTATCATCAGAAAAAAAACATTGATTAATGGATAGGATACGCAGTTATTGCTGGGCTTCGAAGTTGATTTCCCCATTCTTCTTTTTCATTGTATACACATAAATACACTTGCTAGACAAAGCGAACATGCCTGCTAATTCATTTGAACTGTGAAATTGGTAAGGTGACCTCGCCACGGTATGCGGAATGTCACACCTGATTCTGACGCACCCAATACCTGACATCAACGTGTCACTCACGATCACTCTTTGTTAACTGAGTTTACATGTTTAATGAAACAATTTGCTCGTGGCAGTTGCTGACTTTTGAAAGAATGGGGAAGTTTACCGCAATTAAGATGAGCTTGGACTAAGACCACGTATATGAGAAGCGCCGCAGAGATCACACACAGGCCAGAGAGTATATGACAAAAAATAGAAGGCAACAAACAACACCTGCATAAAAAACTCTCTTATTCTCTCACCAGAGGTGAAGGCACAGTGAAAGGTCATGAAGTTTCATAAGTTCCTAACGTGCCCTATAGGTGAGTGATAATCATTTAACTGTCTTTTGAACCACACCTATAAAGCCTTTGGGATATTTTTTCTTTGAGTGAATCCAAAACATTCTCTTGTGCACCGATGGTGTGTGTAATTTTCTGGGTTCATGGGGCAGGCAAGCAAGCCTGTGCAACTTGTGGTGTGTGTTTATAGACACACACCACACACACACACACACACACACACACACAAATACACATAAATACACAAATGATATTGTCTTCCATGGAGACAGTCTAAGCACGTGTTACTGTTGGATTCTCGGTAACCATAACTTTATTTTCCACAACACATACGATATTCAGTTCATCACATCTTACATATCTCAAAATATCTTAATTCTTTTTGTGTTCCACAGAAGAAGTAAAGCCACACAGGTTTGGAATGACATGACGGTGAGTAAATGATGATATATTTCCTCAGAGGTAGATAAATTAGTTTGGCTGGGGTGCTTGTACATAAGCGTAAAATAAGTTCTGATCCATCTGCACTATAAAACTTGTACATATTATACTGCTAAACTCATCCATGCATTGAAAAGGTTACAGACCTCCATTGTCACAGGCCTACTATTGTCATATGTAAACCATTCTTTTGTAAAATCATCCATTTTAAAAAACTAAAAGGACTTGCTAAATCTACTCACATAAACCACACACGAAACACAGATCAACTTCATTTGTAAACAACAAAGACTTTCACTTTGATGAATCGTCTTGAAATAAATGATGTCCTGATGTAAGATGCTGGCCACATTTCTTTTAAGAGACCAAAATGTCTTGGAATATCCCTGGATATATTTAAAGGCCTTGACTGCTTCAAAAGTCAGAAACTCAAATAAATATGAATTTAGCAGTTTGGCTCTGTGTGCGGCTCCAAACCGCTGCAGTCAGATTGAGTTTCGGCCCTGTGCTTACTCCTTTCCCTTACCATTCCAAGACAAAATGATTTCCAGCAGGCCGAACACTTAAGCAGGCCTAAAACTTGACATTTAAAGGGCATGCCAACGAATCTTTCTACTTTTTAAAAACACTAATAGAAAGAGAACATTTTAAATGGTTGGCAATTTGATTCCGTGGGCCTGCAAAAGTCACCAGCTGTCTTTCTTTGTGACAGCTGAAATGATCATTCTCCTCATACCTGCTGTGTTTAGCTCCAGTGACCATCTGATAACTTTTAGTTCAGGCCTTCTGTCTACGATGCGATGTGTGTGTGCACAGGTGTGCGTGTGGTTTATCTTTTTTTTTAAATGCAGGTGTCATGATCTTTCTCTACACAAAAAGTTCAAAGTCATCTGTTTATCTTCTTTCTGTGTTAAGATAGGATCCAGCACTTGATCTACACTGCTCTTATCTGGTTAACTCTAAACACTGACGAAGCCATCAAGCATTTCAAGAATTTGTTTGGTTGTCTGTGTTTTATTCAGCAAAAAAACATTTGGGAGTTAAATACAAGATTTAGTTTAATCTTGTAACAAATCTCAAAATGTCTATTGTTTTACACACACTCTCTCTCTCTCTCACTCACACACACACACACATATACAGTATATACTGTATATAAATATATATTAAATTAGTATTACAGCTGCCTTAAAGGATGCTTTTAATCACCCTACAAATGTCAACACGTCAGGCTGGTATTGCACATGTCGGTGAGGTTAAGATTTGTATTTAGCAGTTTCCAAAGTGACCGGCAACATACTTACCACACATATTACAGATGATAAATGGGATTGAGTGCTTACAAGGTCACATAGTTCATGGAGGTCATGTCAGTGGGTAATACCACTCATGGATCATCACTTAAGATTTGGATTACCATTTAACCACCACCAGATGCTATGATTACTACAACATTCTAGCTTTGGCACATAAAATGACAGTAGTTAGCGCACCGCTGAGCTAACAGCCGAGAGAAATGATACTGCAGCCGAGTCTACGCTCTCATTATCACAGAAGCTTTGGCTCGTATAGCAGTGTGTGGCAGCACCGGTGTTTGTATGTGTGTGAAAAGTATTTCATTTTTGATTACATCCCAAAGACACCCCTTTACAGAGCTGTCATGAGAGAACATGCACCTGTTTTATGCCTCGTTTGGTTCATGCTATACGCTGAACCTAGCATTTCCCTTTCTTTTTTTCTTAATGAATTCCTTAAATTTTCTCCTTCCTCCCACTTAGGTTCTGTTTTTGTTATCTTTGTTCCAAGTGTGTAATTTAATACAATGAGTAGTTGTGTGTTTGTTGTTGAGTGGATATGTGTTTACATTTGCAAGCACGAGAGGCGTTTTATCGCTATGAAGTGTGAAACCTAATTCTGTTTTAGAGTGTGTTTCTAACTCTTTACGTGACAGAAAGTGTATAACGTGACAGATTTGCAAGGATTGCAGGTGCATGGTGTCATGTTAGAAGCTGGTCTCTGAATGTAGTTTTGAGTCTCTGACAATAAAACATCCATCACCGTTTATTTCACTTTATGAGTGAATCAACAAGCGAGGAACTAAACCTTTCATGTTATTGAGTACTTGCTGGTATTAAACCGTTTGCTTCCAGAGCTTATAAATGTGTATAGGATTGAATTACAGTTTTTCTGAATTGCTAAAGCACATTTCTTGAAACCATCACTCGCTTTCTCAAAACCTTAAACACAAAACCACATTTCCAAACCACATTCAGAGAACCTCTGACTCTTCTGGCAAAATCAAACAATTGCCACAAAACATTTTATCTGTGCTCAAAATCAAACAATACTTTCAGATCATACACACAGCGAGCCAAAATTATAAACACTACAGATCATTCGTTAGACACTACATACTAAAATGGAGAACACAGAATCCAAAGCATGCAGTTACAGGGAAAAAATAAGAGATTGATTCTGCTTCAGCATCATGTCTTCATGTTGGGTCCGGCCGGAGGACTTTGTCCACATCACAGACAATATCATCTTTGCAGGCAAAGGGAAAAATCCTAAAGCCAGATCCAGCCTTGACAACATTCTCCACACCTTCTCTTCCTCGTCCTCATCCTCTTCCTCCTTGTTACAGTAACCACCTCTTTTACACATACTCTTCCTCTTATGTTGTTACCATCCATTATTGGTATCAACATTCAGTGCAACATTTTGAGTCAATTTTGGGACTTATTTATTAGAAATAAGTGTGAACAATTTTGAGTCGTGTGTAAACGATGACAAC